CTACAAAGCAAGCGGCACCGAGTTTCCTAGCGAATCTCTGATACAGACGGGATACAGCAGCAGGTACATCCTGCTGCATCGGCCATCCATCGAGGCTCGCCGGATACCCGTGCACAGCGTGCACCGCAGCATACTGACCGGATATTAAATTATTAGCCGCGGTCGAGTTGTGGCTGAGCGTGTTCGCGCCGGCGTGATTGACGTGCGGATGAACGATCGCGGACGCCGTCAACGTGTGCCCCGAAGGATGACCGAGGCCGTGTGGCAGCGTGCCGGAAAGCGGTAGCGTGGTCCTCGGTGGAACAGCGGGCGCTGGTGACGATGGAACGCCGCCTTTTTCCGGGCTCTTCGACAGGGGCGCCGACGCACCGCCGTTCGGCCCTGAATTGTTCGGCGGCTGGTTCACGTGCAGCCGGTTCCTCAGGGTCACCAGTTCCGTGCTCAAGCTCCTCAGACGTTGCTGGAGGTGCACCGCTTCGTTCGACGACGAGGCATCTGCAACAGAGAACAGACTGCGTTAGCAGATCTTCTCCACATTTTCTCTAGGAAGTGAGAATTCTCATCTTTCGACAGAATAAATGGAAACGATACTTGAGATTGAGAGGAATTACTTGAAATTCTACGGTCGACGCGAATTCTCGAGTATTTTTTCAAAAGACGTCTTACCGATGAATATGATATTTTCGATTAGATAGAAATTTGGGAATTACTTGAAATTCTCTAGGGTCGATGCGAATTCTCGGGTATTTTTTCAAAAGACGTCTTTCGGGAGAACACGATATTTAGAACTGATGGAAATTTGGGGATTATTTTCTATTTAAATTCTAGGATCGATGGAAATTTTCCAGTGGTTTTTCAACACACACGTCTTTTAAGATATTTAGAATAATTGGGTAGAAACTTGGGAATTATTTGAAATTTCAGGATCAATGGAAATTTTTGATAAGAAAAATAAAAAATTATACCGATTCGTAATTTTCTTTTTTTTTTTTATAAGAATTGATCATTTTCTATTTCTCTGATCAAATAATTGATCGTTGAACCATCAATCAACAGTAGTTCCTTGAAATTAATCAACAGAAAGTAAGAACGATTGATAGACGACGGAGAGAAGAGATAAATCAAGAGTTTTTGATATTAAGAGAGTTGGCGATCGATTATCTTCTCTCGTCAATCCGAAGCAAGACTGTCGAACGATATATTATTCTTAAAACGTACAGAACCAATCTTGCATGTTGCAGCGGGGAACGAAACCAACGCGCACGTGAAAAATTGCAAGCGTACATCCTGCTGAACGTCGGAACCCGTCGTTCGCCGAATCCGCGAAAATAACGGCGGCCGACCGTCATTTCACGCGACGGGATACATCGTCGGCAAATAGAAAAAAGAATCAATATATATTCGGCGGGACGGAATCAAAATTCATAGGGGCGGCAGCAAATCACCTGCGAAAGCTAAATTTTCAAGGGTGCAAAGAACATTTACCCAATCGAAAAGCCCGTCGATAGGTCGACAAAAATCGGCTGGCAGCCGGGGATGTTTGTTATGCGCGCTGGGTGGTTGGCAAACGAGGGTGCAACTCTCTCTCTCTCATTCTCTCTTCCTGGCGCCGATAAAAGGGTTATTGCGCGTTTCGCCAGTGCCATGGCAAACAGCGGCCAGAGTAGGGGGAGGGGAGCCTCGTTTTCTAAATGAATTATTTCTATACGTCGAGAGAGAGAGAGAGAGAGAGAGAGACAGACGCTCGACTTTTCGCAGCGTGTTTCTCGCTGAATTTTCCACCGTGTCCACATTATAGGCAATTTAGCCCGATCGCTAAAGGTGCAACGAACGAGCCCGTTTCGTTAATAGCCCGGCCCCCACGTGGTAAATGTACTTAGCGGGCCGGGCACGCTCGTCCCCGGCTTGTGTGTGTCCCCGTGAATATTTCACGCGGCAAGTTTTGCACGCGTTCGCGTAATCGCGGCCGATTCCTGAAAAATTTCGCGCCGCTCGTTTCCCGCTCGTGTCGTTAGCCATTGATCGTGGCCCCGTTGGAATTATTCATTTAGCTTCATAATAGCGCCGCACGATAATATTCCGCAAGCTCGTTAATGCACAGCGCGGATCGATAAGCGTAGAACGAGGTGGATTGGCTGATTCCTCGTGGCGGAATGAATGGAGAACCATCTACAATGTCTTCTCTTTCATCAGGCTGCAGCGATTCAAAGGAATAGGATTTTTGGTTGCCTACTAGTTTTTTCTTTTTTTTTTTTTTTTTTTTTTTTTTTTTTTTTTTTTTTT